ACGAGTTTGCCAACAGGTATATAAAAGGGACAAATGGCTGAAATGAATAAGGAAATATGAAGTGAGAGATAACGTCGCCAGTAGTCCAGCCGCAGTACATGACAAAGGCGACATGAGGTGCACACGTGAGCCTGAATAAACCTGACGCCAGAATACCATTGTTGTGTACAGCAGTGGACATAAAGCCCGCAGTTCTGTTAGCAACGACAAGCTTTGTTGAACATGCCACACACAAGTCGGGCATCATAACTGGGAATGCTTACAGTATACAGTTTAAATTATCCTGAGATTTCATGGGACATATATAATCAGTAATTGATATATCACAATGTACATACTGTGATTGCATAAGTACATGTGATGCGTGTATAGGTAAGTAGATCCAAACAAATATACCTATATAATCAACATTCCACATTCCCCGGTGCTGAAATGATGCAATCAAAGTTATACAACACACGGTTTATATACGAATAGTTTAAGATTTGCTTTCTCAATAATACATAGTTACATCCTTAAAATTCTAACAACCGAATACCAGGATTTATGAAGGCTTCACTCCTGAAAACTTTCATAACGGCCAGTGTGGGCGACGGAAACAGACCATAAAGCGTTAGCGATGACGGACATTACCAGCCGTGGCAGCTCGGATGTCAAACGAGGCTTCAACATCTGATACGCCTTTTGTTCTCGCCCCGTTGCTGGAGGGTCCTGGAGCGGGGGAGAACGCAAGATCACAACCACACACATATATGAACAAACAAACAAAAGAATCGTACTCAGACGAGCACTCACATTAACACATATGTACAAACACACACACACACACATACACTAACACACACACACTCACACATATGAGGAAATGTATATATATGTATATATACATATATATATATATATATATATATATATATATATAATTTATATATATATATATATATATACATATATATAGATGTGTATATATATATATATATATATGATATATATTATATATAATATATATATATATTATATATATAATATATATCATATATATGTATATATAGATGTATAACTATATATATATATAATATATAATTATATATATATAGTATTATTATATATATATATATAATATATATATAAGAAACCACCAGGGCTGGGACCATCATATTTATTGGGCGTTTCGGATTAATAACTTAAATCCATTCTCAAGCCAATCTAATGGGAGAAAGTACACTTTAAGGAAACTATAAAATAACATAAAAATCCTAAGTGGGCGTTACAAAATTAGATAACAAAATAAACTAATAAAACAAGTAAAAAGGATAAAATTAAAGTAATAATAAAACTTGTTAAAACACAAAAAAAAAGTTTAATATATATGACTAGTACAAAAAGAACGCAAGAATACAGCTAAAACGAAAAAATGCATGGATAAAAACAAAACAAAACGAAACATAAGAAAAATAAAATACACAACCAAAAGGCCACTACTTACGGTCATTTGAGAGAGGGTTTGTGTATGTATGTCAGTTTGCTCTCCATGATAAGGAGCTGCAGGTGGTATGGTGTTGCCGACTGAAAAATCTTTGCGATGTATGGGGTGATCTGTGTCATCTGCGTGATTCTTGATTGCTGAAAAGGGTGGTTTGGTCATTTGGGTGCCAGATGCTGTGAGATGCTTGTTTTCAAGTGTTTAGTGGTTTTCCCGAAAATATGATGCCTTGCAGCTATCACACGTATATTTGTAGACAATGTTAGATTTTAATTCAGTGGGATAGCTTGAATATCCTTTGGAATTTTTGAAAAGGTTTTGAAAGAATATTGGTGTGTTATTCTTTTTATAGTTCATGTATGAAGATCTTAACGTTATCCATAACCACAATGATGAGTGTCATATGTAAATACATATGGTACTAAATTAATATATTATTTATCTTAAAATATAATATATATATATTATATATATTATTATATAATATATAGTTACGTTCTTTTAATTATATATCCGTGTGTGTGTGTGTGTGTGGTGTCCGTGTTGTGTAATCATTATAATTTATATATATATAGATATACAATGATAATATCATGGGTAATATATAATCATTATAATTCTATGCACCCTTATTACTTATCTAAAAATATCACATAAAAAATTTCTATATTGTATGTCCAGTATATATACTATTCGCACTATCAGTATTATAGTTTAGTATATAACTAATATGATATAATGTATATATAGTAAATATAAATGTATGTTATATATATATACATATACTATGTCTCTATGTGTATTATAAATAGAGAGAGTAATATAAGAACATAACATAATGTAGTTAACAAAAGGAGTTAGTAATGTGTAAAATATATAGATATATCTCATATATAATTATATATGACTATATATACGCATATATATAATTAATATATGGTAGTATTAATTACCATAAATATAATATCTATATATATAATGTAGTATATAGTTAACATATGTATACATATAAATGTTATGGTATATTCATATATATATATATATATATAATACTTATATAATATACTATATATATTATTATATATAGTATGCATGAATATTATTATGAATATATTATACATTATTATAGTTATATTATTACTATATATATTATGTATTTACATATCATACCTGTATTATCATATATATATAACTTGTATTATTAATTGTATATCTATCTCGGTTTAGAGGCTACTGAGCTGTAATAATTTGTTCAGTACTCCAGGTACTAGGTGTTCTTTATTCACTTACTCTTTATATTATTTGCTCGATTTAATGGCATCGATATAATATATATAATGCACACACAACACACACACACACACACACACAGCACACACACATCTACACATTTGTTATTGTTTACATCAGCACACACACACACACACACACCTCACACATCTCTATCGAATTTATATAGGACTCACATATATATATATATACTATAATATATATATTTAATATAATATATATATATATTGATACTTGTGAGAGAAGGTGTTGGTAAGGAGAGAAAAGACGCCGCTTACACATATAAGAGATAATATTTCCAGACCAAAATATATAACCTTTGATGTTAATAACATAGACGTTTAGTTATTGACGCCGTTCGTTCTGGAATCTAACACCTTATATGATTATATATAATATATATATGTATACATGGGCTATATATATATTATATATTATTAGCCGGTTATATATGTAATATAATATAATATATATGAATTAGTATATATGTATATGTATATTTACAGCATGTATAGTTTTTATTTTATGTATACACATATAATAAATACAATATGCACACACATCCTCACACTACACCACACACAGACACACACACCACACACACACATCGTGTGCTGTCTTTCCACAACACATCTAGTAACAATCACACCACACACACACGACAATATATCACTACTATATATTATATATAATATACTATATATAAATTATTGAGTATATAAATACCTTATTATATATATCATATATACTATCTACCATATAATGTCATATATATCTTGTAACTCGTATAGAATAAACCATACTATTAAAAAAAGATATATATAATATGTTATATATATATATATATATTATATATATATATAATATATCGGAACCTTGGTATAGTACCTATAAGTATAGTATTATTATATTAAGATGGAATAGAGTTAGACTTAGATTTCAGATAGATAGAATGATAGATGACTTAGATAGAT